AACCTCCACACCGTTTACTCCTGACATCATAGCTGAGCAAGTGTGTGCTTGCCTGTGTTCGCTTTTGTCATTTAGCCTTGTGTGAGGTGTGTGTCCAACTGCAGGGTGTGTTGGCTATGTCCTGATTAGTGTGATACTATAGTGTGTCTGTGTGCAATCATGAGATCACATCAATCTTTCTGTGAGTATGTTTGTTCAATAACGATTTGTGTGTGTGAGAGTGTTATGTGTCAAGTGCAAACGGATTGTGTGAAATGTACGTTCTATGTGTAAGGTTTGTGTGTGAGAATGGAAGCATTTGACACACTGGTGATTATGTGTCACATGTTTACGTGCACAGACACCGAGCGCATTTTTTTCTGGGTTTCGATGTTGTCTAAATTTAGTCACCGCATCTCACAAACTCAGTGTGACTAATTTAAATGCACAAAAGACTGTTCCTCGCCTGATGCCAAACCAGCCAAATGACAGATAAACATTAAGTGGAGGAGAGGTGTTGACTTGGTTAATGTACTATGGGCTGTTTCAAATTCAGTGCAAAAATGTAAAAATACTACTAAAACGTGTCTCTCCAAGTTCCCTCTCTCTCACTCACACACACACACACACACACACACACACACATTTTGCTGCTGGCAAGGACATGGTCCTCAGCTGCTGTCAAGGTATTTTTTTGATTTCAGCTGCAGACTTCTCTGCCAGACCTTTCTGTTTCCTGCCTGTTGGTAGCAAACACCCATGGTAAGCACCATCTAGACAAACAACCTCAGCTGGTACCTTCCAGCCTTTTCAATTTGCCCATCATAAAAGTATTGTAAAAAAAAAAAAAATGACAGTGACAAGAAAAAGTGAGCCATTTAAAATTCCCTGATTTGGTCACAATGTGTGATTTGATCTTCATCTAAGTCAGTTTGCTTAAGCTACCAGGACATCTGACATTATCCTGTAGGACACCTGGATAAACTTGGGAATTCATTTTCCCCTCCACAATGGCAAGCAGACCAGGCCCAGAGGTAGCAAAGCAGTCCCAAATCATTATGATGTCAGGATGGCTGTTCACCAGCTGAGACTCAGCAGAAGCTGGCGACAGTGACTCTAAACACTAAAGTAAACCTATTTACACAATGGCTTCAAAATCCTGAGAATACTGCTGAGCTACAGCGGCTCTGTGAAGAAGAATGGTTCAAAATTCCTCCTGAACATTATATAAGTCTGACTCCCAGCTGCAGGAAGCGCTTGTTTGAGGTTATTGCTGCCAAAGGAGTTTCAAACTGTTATTAAATCCAAGAGTTCACTTACTTTTTCCACCAGTAGTTTGAGGATTGAAATGCATTTCACGACCAATTCGTGTAGAAAACCAGGCAATTCCAAAAGGTTCACTTACTTTTTCCTCACCATTGTATATTCCAGCACATTAGATTTAAAATAATTCATTTATTGTAAATGAATATGGTTTTCTTAGAAATAAAACCATTCTTTACATTCAAGGGTCTAACCAAAACATTGAGTACCACTGCGGACTAACAAACATGGTCAGTACACTACCATCTCAAACATTTTAGAATGTGCGTCAAATAAAACAGGGTCCAAAAACGGTTCCACAGGTGTCAAAACCATCCCACAGTACCTTGAAATAAATAACCTAGTCTCAGGATGAAGGGTGTTGATTGGTGTTCACATCTACAACTTGTCTACACAAGTCAGCAGTTCAATTTCATTATGGTTGTTATGTTAGATTCCAGTGTACTGGAGTCAAGATCTAAAAAGTCTTACCATATTAAACCTAGTCTATGTGAAGATCTGAAACACTACCTGATAAAATCTTTGCTATGCAGTGTTAGTATGCACCTGAGTGAGCGACATAAATATTTTACACAGGCGTTTCCAGTTGCTGACACCACCAGCGAATTGACTTGTGAACCAATTTGTAAAAACAAAAAAAAAAACTAAAGTCGAAGGATGTGTTCAGCCCTGGGTCAGCAGGCTGGCTCCCCTGCAACTTTAACTTTCAGGGCTAATTTGGCCTGACCAAACCAGAACAGGTCTGCCCTGTTTCTGATTAAGTGCAGCATTACTCAAGATGAACTACAAAGGGTACTGCCAATCTCTCAGCTTAGTTCTAGGTCCCAGGGGGAAAGAGACTATCCCTGTGCATTTTACTTCACTGTGATTGATCTGTAGTCACAGGAATGTTCTTACCAACTCTTTGACCTCTGTCCAACAGACTTCTGGTTGTTTGTGAGTTTTCTGATAAGAAATATAATATACAGTAAATTCACAGGCGCACTGACACTGAAGGTGATGTATAAATGCCTTATGTAAACAGAAGCTTGGTGAGTAATATTTTTAACTGACTGTAGTAGTAGGTCATGCAAATCTATTTCATTCAGCAAGGTCACTCTCACTGGTGACAAGACTGGATCCCAAACCATTACAGGTCTGATTAATTGTCAATTAATGAACCATAATCCAAGTCTGTAACAGGATACGATCGGGCGAAATGATACACCTAGCCTCTCTACGCTGGACCTCACTCTGATGTAAGTCTAGCTTCCTAAGTTAAAAATACACTGGCCCCCAGCAGGAAAAAGTAGTGACAGTAAAGAGGGTGGTAACATGTGATAAAAATAAACTCAAGGCAGAAAAAGATGAACGCATGAAAGGATGACAGGCAAATGCTTGAAAGGAAGCGCTAAAGAGGGAGGGGAGGCACAGATTGAGAAATATTGAGAATATTAAGGAGTAAATGAAAAACAAAAATTGACTCGTGGGTGGAAATTGAGATAAATAAAAACCAATTCATGGGTAACACAACCACATCTCTATCCCTGCCCTCTTCTCCAACGCCCTCCATTCCATCTTTCTGATGTGTCATCTCTGTGTGCGACTGTGTTAATAAAACAGATCTGCACATATGTGGATGTTGGAAGCGACTTGCAACATCCAGTGCCTCTGATGTTACAGGCCCTGCCTTAGTAATGGCACGCACCGACACACATGCTCGCACCCACAGCCTGTTTCCATTAAACAGCCATTTCCAACAGCTATCAGCGCAGCGAGGAAATCAAGCGCTCGACCACCGTTTGAAGTCATATCAGCTACACTTGTTCCTATTGCCATGCTATCGCTCCATCCTCTCCTCCTCTCTACCTCTCGCTAACCCCGCTCTCCCTCACTTATCTCCCTTACACCCCCAGAGATCTCAGGCCTCCCCCTCTCTTTCCTCACACGTCACCACTCGTGCTCAGTCTCTCTTCATCATCGTCATTTGCTCCCCCTCTCATCCTGGTCTCACCCAGAATTGCTCCAGGCACTAAGAGCAGTGCTTCCCCTTGTCAAAGCAGCCTACTTTTATCTCCTCTGTGTCCTCCCTCTCTCCAGCCTTCTTCTCTGCCCTGAACCCTCCATCGGTGATGGAAGACCTACTCATTCCCTTCACCACGGTGTAAAAGTGCTCTTACAAGCAGAAATTTCAGTCAAAACTTGACTCAAATGAAAAATATGTGTATATATAGATATATAACCAAAACTTACTTTTAACAATCAAAAGTAAAAGTAATCCTGAGTCTTACTTTTGCATAAACTTTATATAACTGGAGCATTTTTGATGCTTTAAAGGATAAGGCTGACATAAGGGCAAACAATAAAAACAAGACACAATCCAACCAGCTCACTTCAAGAAACTGGCCGTGTGTGTTGAGGTGAGAAGAAACAAAGCAGGATTTGAGCCTCTCTCGAGGTCTCTTTTTTAATTCACACAACTACTTCTGTCACTTTGTGTGTATACACCTGAGTGCTTGCACTAGCAGTGGGACTAGGAGTGCGTACCATTATCCCCATCGCTTGTCGTTCCTATCTCAGCTAATACTTTGTCCTTAGATTAGGGTTGAATCCTTGTTCTATATATTTCATCAAATCCCATAAAACCAACAATGCTCTTGTCCAGTTCTCAATAGTTTCTGGCTTCATAGTGTGTATGTCACTTAGTCCATGAGCCCATTTGTTTCTAGTGAATATTTAAATGTTTAGAAAACAGGTCCAAAGTGAAAAGGACTCACTAATTTCCTAACAGCTGGCTACTGTACTGGTCTATTTTCAGAAATAAGTATTGTTGATGTATGTGGGACTGATTTAAGATAAACATGAAGGAATATGCCACTCAGTACAACACTGTAGCTCATTTGTGTTCAATACTGTAATTTTTGCACAACAGTGGAACCCTATGGGTGGTTGAATGTATCAAAAATGAATGCCATCCTTATTCTTTTAAAGTATAAGCTGCATTTTAATTTTGCAACTGGTCAAACTACAGCTGGAACTTCTTTAAGTGATTTAGAAAATGTATGTTAGAAAGTAAACTTACTATGCAACAAGGTGTCAATATTTTATAGGTTTATTTAATATTTTGTACAGAAAATGTTTTGATAACTCAAAATGCCACATGCCAAAAGTATAAAATGGAAACGCTCAAGCACGTTTAAGCTGCAATTAAGTGCAGTATTTGATTAAACGTCCTCTCCATCACTGCCCACCAGAATGGTTACTCTACTCTTCTTTTCTTATCCTCCTCCCCTCTCCATTTCTTTATCTCTCCTAATCTTCTCCTCCTCCCTTCATCTTCCCAACCCCCACCACCTCTCTTACTCCTCATTTTCATGCTGCTCTTGTTCTCTCTCTCTCTCTCTCTCTCTCTCTGTGTGTGCTCTTCTTGATGCTACCAGAGACAGATCAGTCCTCTCTTCTGCTCCTCATCGCAGACATTCTTCTCCACAAGGAGCCAAAAAAGCAAGGGAATAAAGGTGTAGGAAAATGGACTGATGAAGAGCAGAGATGACTGTGGAGGCAGGACAAGTAAAAGAAAAGAACTGGAGAAAGCCTCCGTTAGGAAGTGAAGAGAATTCTAAAAATACATAACGGCTTACTCCCTGCATTGTTTTTCCTCTCTCTCCATTCTTTTTTTGCTGTGTCTTCATTCAGTACCTGTTTTGTGAGGAAAGAGCGACAGAGGACGTAGACAGAACGCTGCAGCTGTCGAGACTGAGTGAAGGGACGACCAGCGGGTGGAGAGAGAGATGGGGATAGACAGAGAGAGAGAGAGAGAGAGAGAGAGAAATGGGTGTTTTTCCACGGAGCTGAGAGAGCGAGAGCGCCGCGGAGACAGAGAGATGTGACGGCTCCTGGAGTCACGGTGGAATGATCCGGAAAACAAGGTTAGTAATTCCACCTTTTCATCTAGCGGAGGGCAAAGATGGGGGGAAAGACATGTTAGATAAGGATGAAAGAAACAGGAGAAGAGTGAAAATGGATTTAAAAAAAAGACACCAAAAAGCTGTAGTTTTGCATTAGGAGCTGCAAAGTGAACACTGGAGAAGGAGAAGCGGATAAACGGGAATGTAAAGAAAGAACTACAAAGAATAAAAAGAAAAAATCTGGCAAAGATGCTGCATGCAGTATATGTAGCTGCTGCACTAATGTACAGATGCACACTCACAAAGAAACACACAAATAGGTTTAGAACAAGGTAATGAGATTGCCTTCCTAAAGGTGTTTAGAGTTTGAATGACAGGCCAGAAAGTGGGGGGTGTAACACTTTTGAACTGTCTGACAGTCATGGTGCTGATCAATAGCTCAGTTGTTTCATTAGTCTGCGTGCGTGTGTGTGTGTGTGAGACTAAAGGAGGGAGCGAGAGCGATGCAGAGGCTGTGTGTGCTTGCAGGAGAGTATCACTGCAAGGATGTGGATGTGTACGTAGTGGTGGTGTGTTCAAAACGTGCATGCTCGTGCAGCATGGCTGTGTGCTTGCGTGCGCGTGTGTGCCCCTCAGAGTGTTTACGTGTGCGAGCAAGAACGAGCCGGTGCAGCCTGCTGAGAGGCTTTAAGAAGGTCTCAGAACCATCGATTCTCTCTGACAGGCAGGGGAGTCAAAAGCTGGGAGGAGAGAGGAGAAAAGATGGGTGGTGTCAAGGTGGTGAGGGGCATTTAAAGAGGTCATGAGGGAGGAGACAATGATTGACAGCAGAAGTTTTAGAAAGAGGGATGGGTGTAGATACCTGAGGTCAGATGGGTGGAGGAGAAAAAGGGGAATAGGACCAGAAATCAATTGTGTGATTTACGGCACTCAGAGTACATTAATGGAATGAATGCACAGTTCATTTTCTTCACAAACCAGGTTTGTTTCCCCTGTTTTACAGGTTTCTAGCCATCCCTCCACGTCTCCAGCTAAACCCCAAAGCTCCTTTTCTGCACCTCCCTCCAAGGTCATCAATGAACAACTAATTCAATGTGGGAGAACAAACACGATCACACTGGGTAGAGTGTAGCGAGGGCCTGTGACACACCTTGGAAATCTTCCTGGAAAGTGAGGGATGAAAGAAACAGGAAGGACAAAACTCAAGGTGTGTGAAACAATGAAACAATAGAAGAGAAAGCCAGAGAGCCAGATGACTAAATATGAAGCGAAGAGACAGGGCTGTATGAGCGAGGGTGAAGGGGAAAAAAGGAGAGAGGGAGCAACAGAAGGAAGGAGGAGAGGAGGGGAGGTGATGATCGCCGCCGACTCCACGATTCTCACCCTCGACTGAAGTGCTCAACATACAGACAGAGGTTGAATACAACCATGAGGAAATCATATCAAAATGCCGTAAATAGGATTTCAAAGTGGATTCTTGGATTCTTTTTCAGACTGAAGTCTCTATTTCGCAATATTGTGCCGGGATTGAACGAGTAATTCTGGATTTTCCAGGTTTTCTTCATGTATAAAAGCCTAAGAGGATACGGTGGGATTGGAATTTCTGCAACCCTCTGGTTTTCTGACACTGACCTACATCCACCTCCTTCTGATGTGTGTGGGGGCGCGTGTGTGTGGAGAGGAGTAGGACAGGTTTAAGCACAAACACACAAATCCCTCCCCTCCCTCCTCCCCACCGGCCCAGCATACAAGAAGAAACACCTGGGACGAGATCTGCGCTGAACACACACACATGCACACACATGTATATATAAATCTGGATAATATGTGGAGCTGATTCGGATTATAGAGCCGCACAGACAGAAAAGGTAATGTCCATGCAGTTTTAAACACACACACACCCCTATCAGCACACTGTATACTGGCCTAGTGGAGGTGAATCCATATTTGCATGGTTAGCTCTCTTGTGCTGAATCATTGAACACATCGATGCAGTGAAAAGCAGCACTCACTGGACTCATTGCTCGCTCTCTCTCTCACACACAGGCCTATAAATAATGAACAGATGTGCATTTATAACAAAAACATTCAAGCCAAATGTTAGTGTACACACATTCAGGAACGCACATGCTCAAATCTCCCACATGATGGCACAGATAACTGTAGGCTTGTCTTGTGCTTATCCTTCTATTCTAATCCTTCTGCGCCTTTTACGCCACCATTTTTTGCTCTACATACGCCTACCCCACTGAGAATCCTGCTCTCTGTCTTTCTAAGTGTGTGATTGATGTCCTGTATCAGATCACTCACTATGTGCGTCTTGGGCTTTCATCACCTTGCTTTTATGTAATCTCACCTGATGTATTGCGTGCACGTATGTGTGCACTGTGATAAGAGTGTGTGGTTGAAGGGCTGAGAGTGTTCCAGACTCCCTTCATCGGGCTTTTTACATAAGCTGTATCTGAGCACGCACATGAACGCACACCGACACAGGAGATCAGACTGACTGAGTGGATATAAAGGAGGATAGGAAGGCAACGATAAAGAGATGCAAACCGAAGGAGAAAGTCCGACAGGGAGGTACTGAGAGAAGAGGGGTGGAGGGGCTACACATGACATACTGATGGGTAGACTAAGGGCTAAAAGAGGTCAGATGAAAGCCCTGGAGTAGGAAGAAGAGGAGTGAGAAGCAGGGATCGACTTCTCCAAAAGACAAGGAAAAGGAATCATTAAAAAAAAAGTATAACAGATTAGAAAAGAAAGCATGACGGCAGAGACAGAGAGAGAGAGAGAGAGAGAGAGAGAGATAGGCATAATAAGAAGACAGATAAGAGAAATGTGGGGTTAAAAGCAGCAGAGGATTAGATAGAAAAGCCAGACAAAAGGTTTGAGGAGCAAGTAATTACACAGAAGGAAACAAGAGTGAATAACTGATTGATTAAATAAGTGAGATAAACAAAAGGAGAAGTCTAGAACGATGAATGACAAGATGACAAAAAAGCTACAAAGCTGAACATTCAGACTTAAATGATAAATGGTAATTTAGCACAGGGAGATTAAAACAGAAAGACAGATGAAGACAATTAGAAAAGACAGATGGACATCGTTTTATGGCTTTCTTCTGCTACACCATTGGCTACAATTAGTCTTATGTGACCCCAAAAAGTCTGTAAAAGATCACTAGCACCACTAATGAGCTATTTAGAGATATAACTATAAGGGCAATGTGGTGTACTATGAGCCATGTGATAGACATGGCAATTATGAGGCACAACTTGGGGGAAATGTGGAAATCTACCTTCGAAGAACATTAATTACCATGGAAACAAAAGAGGTACAGCTTTTAAAAAAAATCCACCAGTCATGAAACTATTTTTATGAACAATAAGCTTTCTGAATAACTGAGACAGACGCCATTATTTGCTCTGTTGACAGCAGTTTTGACTCATGCTTTGAACTGGGAGAGTGCTATTTCTGAAGAGATGACTGAATGTTTTTAAACTGTAACAAAGAGGCCTTTTGCTATCCATAAAAAAAAAAAAATCTTGATTCTATAATTGGCTTTACTCTCCTGCTAGTGATAGGCATAGGAATACAGAGCCGGTAAGTGTCACCTGAACCAAAACAGTGAGATAAGGGCGGAATAAAACAACATTTTCTCAATTATCTTGTTAATGCTCTGTGTGGCTTGTTGTTACCAAGGGTGTCTGCCATTCTGAGGCTAGTAAGTAGATGAACAGATGGGATGCTCACTGTTCAAAGTAGGAGACTTGCCAAAATGAACAGACTGGCAAGTGAATGGGGAGATGGAGAAAAAAAAAAAGACAGGCAAGTGAAAGGATCACTTATTGAAGAGGAGTTAAAAAAAAGCTTGCAAATCAATTAACGGACTGGTCACTGGGAAGGAAGGATCTTAATAAGCACTGGATGACTACCTACATGATATCATTCTAAAGGACTGAGGCTAAAGCTGTGTCCCAGGCAAAAAGCAGCACTCTTACTGGCCGATCCTGCCAGTGGACCAGGGGTGGTCCCACCTTTCATTTTTATTTATTTTTTTAACAGATGGCCATTCTGACAGATCTCAATCATCAAGAGAGCAGCAATAACCTGACATGACACGCTAGTGAGCATATTAAACAGAGGATGTGCTAGTTGTTAACAGGTCCTTTTTTTAAACAAAGGACATTTAAATCCTTGAAGTAATGTAATAGTATGTTAGCATGCATTGCCGCTGGTCTTTCTTGCATATAGAGTGCCTTAGGGATGATGTATTTTTGGTTGGCCAACCTGTAAGTCAGCATCACTCTGGTTTCCTCAACAAAAGCCAATTTTTCCATCAGATCATTGGATCATTGAAGAAAATAAGCTCTGTGACCAAGGCTTATGATGCTTACACATTTTGTTCAGCAAGATAATCTTTACAAATCAATACCATTTCTATGATTTTTGAAGCCCAAACATGGTCCTGAGAAATAAAAGACTATTGTTAAGCTAAAAACAAACCACACCAGGAGTTTTCAATCAGTGGCCCATGGCCCCCTGGTGGTCTGCCAAAGCATAGCAGGGGGTCCCAGACCTTGAGTTCAATAATGTAGTTTCACTGTAGGAATTACTCTTTATTTATTAATTTTTACAGAAATTCCAATGTATTAACTGTTGTTTGTGAATAATTAGATTCATGCAAATTTATAACATTTATAAAGGTGAAGGTGTCTTTCAGGATTAAAATAGCACCCGTCCAGTCTATTCACCCCACATCAGTGGTCGTTAGGTTACTTTTTAATCATAATGATGGTCCCAGGGTCACAACTACATGAAAACCCCTGAACTACACCTTGGTCCCATGACTTCAATGTCACCATAATGGCTTCCAACTCTGATTTCAAGTGCTTACTTCTTCTATCCACTTAGTGACCTGATCTAGCCAGTGATCATGGCCGCGTCAAAATATAAACACAATAAGGATGCCAATATCTGAGACAGCCTCTGTAGTCTCATTTAGCTACTTGTTACTAGCCCCCTATTTTTAAGACACAGAAAAGCGTTAAAAAAAATCATGAATAGGGAATTTACTGACATTTTATGTCACAGAATAAAACATGAAAATGTTTTGGCTTTGTGTTATCCACACACCTTATTGACCCGTTGATGTGAGGGTGAGGGAACCAAAAGCTAAAATGCTAACTCAGTTCTGAGTTTTACGACTCACTACTTAGATCCTCTGCTTTTGGAAAGTGTAAAAAAAAATAATACAGAAGAAAAGAAAAAAACCACCCCCCAAGCTTGCACTAAATGCTGAGTATCACCATTATTTGAGAGCAATGCACACAGATTCAGTGTGCAAAAAGAGCCGAAGGCTTCAAACTGGGAAACTGTGATTGAACAAGCTGAACAAGACAAACAAGCTGTTCAGGGCAGGGACTTATTGAACAGTCAATTAAGGGAAGAAAAGCAAAAAGAAAGGAGATGAGAGGGACAGACTGATTAACTGTTTAAAAAAATAGCAACCTAGCAATTCCTAAGCAGATGAAGACACATGTGGAGACTTCAGAGATGACAATGAATGATAGATGCAGAATGTCACACACCTCTCTGTGATTTAACCAGCTTTCAATCAAAGACAGAAGGGGAAGATTTGAAACCCTGAAACAGGAAATGATGTGGTCAACGTCAGAAAGGCGGCACTTGATGGATGAATGGATGGATGAATGAGTGGCAAATGTTGGAGGGAGAGAAGAAAAAAGGCTGGACTGTTAAGTAAGGAAAGGACAAGACATTAGGTCACTGTCATCAGCTAAGGAATGACAGTAGATGGTGGACAGAGGTGGACAATGGTAGCCTGATGAAGAGGAAAAATTACAAAAAAAGAGTTTAAAAATAGGGAGGAACATTCAGGAGGATGGAGAGAGTGAGTAATGAAGAAGGAACAGACGAGATGACACTTGAGGTAAATGATATGAGGGAGCAGGGATAAGGGAATAGAGGAATAACCACATCTAAAAGGAAAAACACTAATAAAGCAATGGCACACTGAGGGGGAGGGGTGTCCATAGAAAGCTGGAGTAGATGAATGAATGAAATATAACTTACTGAATGAAGAAGGATGAATAATTAGATTAGTAGTCAAAGGCAAAATAGTAGAAAGGAGGTGTGAAGGGATGGTGGGACAAGTGTCAAAAGAAAGTGGGGAAGTAAAAGTGGAAAATGAAGAAAGGAGACAAACAAGAGGAGTAAGTAATAGTACAGAGGAAATGTGAGGTGAGGGTGAGTAATTAAACTGTTGCCAGTGTGTTTAGGCACAGCGGGCACTTGATGAGTAGAACAAACTGTAACCACGGCAACCGCTGGAGACAGATGGAGAGATGGTTTTGGGGAGAGATATATAAGGGAGGAAGGTAAAATGGAGGACAGCCAAATATAAAAGTGCATGTGAGGTGGCAGGTGGGAAAACAAGGCTTATAAGGCAGCACAGAGATGACAAGAGGGGTGAGAAGGGGAGAAGGTGTCTGCAGGTTTAGGAAACACCTAGAACTGATAATGATTTCAAGTACCCATGAGCCTTTGCCAAGGATTTTCCCAAGTTCACTAGTTACCTACTGTACATATCTATGAAAGATTATTCAAGTCTCTTGATAATACAGATTGGAATCTATGAATTTTAGGAATATGCTTCAGCTCTTCAGACCGAGAAGTTTTTTTAAAAACTTATCTCACTAGCTTGCTAATCCTGCTTTGTGAAAAACCTTTCTGGGGATTAGAGGGAAATGACAGCATGGATTTACACACATGCACATCAGATGTGTATGCGTGTTGGATCCCTCCTGAAAAGTGCTCACCAGCAGCCAACAAGTCCTATATTACAAAG